AGGGTTTTTTGTATGTATCATGTTGACAATGACCATGATAATTTACAATAGTGACAAATATATCACAACAAATATTTCTCTAACAAAGTCTACAACCTTTCTAGTTTAAAATTAACATGTTTTGAAGAACAACAACAAATTTGGCACTTCTTACAAATAAAGTTACATGACATGATTTTGTTCTCTGGTGAAAATTGCATGAAAACATCTCATTTAATCATATCAACAATAGTAAACAATAAACAATTTAATTTTGATCAAATGTGAAATGTGATGGTACCCTGATTGTTCGCTATAGATAAAGCCTAGCATAGGTGACATAAGAATTAACTGACAAAACGTGTTAGAAGTAATAAAGCACTGTAACTATGAATGTGCTTGGCGTGAACCAAATCTTTTTAGTTCACACATTATCATGTGATACATGTATATCACTTAAACATTGTCCCAAATTTAGCAATCTAAGGGTGCATTCTTGTTCTATTCCACCTCACAATACTTGTGTTTACTAGTATGCTCAAAATATATACATCTCAACTGAGTTTAATACACATTCAACAGTCACTTAACAATGAAATAAAAGCAATCCTTGTCTGCAAAAATTCTGGACAAAAAATGTAATCACAGCATCAGTAACAACAAAATTACATGACGATTGCAGACTCGATTTGATTAAGGGATTATGAAACAGTGCAATACCTTTCTCACGACCATTAGCACCGGCTTGAGCGGTACTCAATTTTCCACATGTAAAAGTGTTGTAAGCCATGTTTACTTTCCTAATTTATTCTCACAAAGCAAGAAATATGAATGCCATAATAAGATAATGTGATATACTTAATCCTGTGATATAATATCTATATACAATGTTCTCAAATCTGGGTGTGATAATTCATATCACTTTGTGTATCATAATATAACTGAGAACAATAAATTGTAGCTTCCTCTCATGTTCAGAATACATGTACTATTATTATTTATTCAAGTTCAATCAATTGTAGTTTTCTTGTTAAACTCAGAATATTCATATAATCATAATGTACTGGAGTCCAATAAATCGTTGTTTCCTGTGCATGACTGTTGAGGAGAGGGTATAGTCCAGTTTCTAATTTGTTGATTAATATCCAATAACTGGCTATATAACAAACCAATGTCAAACTCCACCTTTGTTAATACAAATACACCTGAAACATAACAAACATAGTTGATTTAATAAAATGATTATTGCATTTCTACATTAATTAATGATACAATATTTTAGGTTATCAAAACAATAATTTCAGTTTGTTCTTTTAACAGAAATAACATGCTTGAAAACAGAAGATATTTCCCTAAACAAGGGTGCCGTAGTCACAAAATACGCCCATTTACGAAAGCTTTAGATGGAGATGGGGGCATTATGGATAAGTGTTATCTAGCAAGCAAGTTTTTATTCTTGGCACTGTGTTGTTAAATGAACCTTTAAACAAATCAGTAGGGAAGATATGCACAGGATGTGTGACCTTGACCTTGGTCGCAGGGACCTGAATTTTATGCACGGCACTCAGCCTCACAATGATAAACATTTGTGCCGCATTTTATTGAAATCCCTCTATGCATGTAGAAGTTTTGCTCCAGACAAGCATTTTTCTATGAGCTCTAACTGTGACCTTCACCTTTGACCCAGAGACTTGGTTCATGTGCAGGGCACTACGTCTCATGGTGGTGAACAATTCTATAAAGTAACATTAAAATTCCTCCATGCATTTAGAAAATATGCTCCGGACAACATCTGGATATTTAATCATCTACAGTGACCTTGACCTTGCAAATATTAACCTAAATTAAATGTGTCACACCTGTAGTCATGATAGTTACCATTTTTGCTACAATCCATCAATAAATGATGACTAAATGGTCCCTATACACATCTTCAAATTTTTATCTGAACTTTGACCTCTATGTGTAACATTGACTTTGGTCGCAGGGATCTGAATTTTGCCTGCGACACTCAGCCTCACAATGGTGAACATTTGTGCCAAGTTATATTGAAATCCCCCTATGCATGGTAGAAGTTTTGCTCCGGACAAGCGTTTTTCAATGAGCTCTAAGTGTGACCTTGACCTTTGACCTGGATCATGCATGGAGCAATACATATCATGGTGGTGAACATTTCCATAAAGTATTATAAAAATTCTTCCATACATGTAGGAGATATGCTCCAGACAAAAATCTGGATATTTCACCATCTTTAGTGACCTTGACCTTGCATATATTGACCTAAAAGTACATGTGTCACGCCCTAGTTTTCCATGGGAAATTCCCTTTTTTTTTTTACAAAACCCCTAAATAAAAAAAATGGGTTTACTCGTTTTTTTAAAAAAAATTTTCAATATTTTTAAACTAAACTTTTTTACCCCCTTTTTGTTTTGAAACCTTTTAACCCTTTGGGTGCCCAAAAAGGCCCTTTTAAATTTTTTTTGCGCGGAAAACTTCCCCCTCAAAAGGGGGGAAATTTTGGGGCCAATTTATATTGAAAAAAACCCTCTTTTGGGAAAAGTGGAAAGTTTTTTCCCCCCCAGACCAAAACGGTTTTTTTAAAAAGCCCTTTTTTAAATGTGGGCCCTTGGGCCCCCCTTTACCCAGAAAAACCCAGTTTAAAAGTGCGTTGGAATTTCCCTTCCCCAAAAAATGGTGGTTTAAAAAAAATTTCTAAAGAAATTTTAATTAAAAAACCCCCCTGGCCAAAGTAAGGAAAAATTTAAAAAGGTAAATTTTATCATTTTAGTGGGCCTTGGAAAACCCTTTTATATTTTAACCCCAAAAAATTTTTTTTATTAAAAACCATGTTTTGATAAAGAAAACCCTTTGTGGTTTTTAAAACCCCAAAAAAACAAAAATCCTATACACATTTTTTTATAAATTTTAAAACTTTAAAATTTGAAACCCCTATGGTTTTTTGAACCCTTTTTAAATTGGGGGCCCCCCAGGACCCCGAAATTTTTTGGGCCGGGGAAAACCCCCCCCCTAACAAAGGTGAAAATTTTGGGTTTTCCAAGTTTTAAAAATTTTAAAAAACCCCCCTTAAAAAAATTGGGGGGGGGAAATTTTTTTCTTTTCCCGACAATTATTTTTTAAAAGAACTCCAGTGGACTTGAAAACCTTTTTTACCTAAAAAGACCTTGGGGGAAAAGGTGCGCCGAAAACCCGCTCCTCATAGTGTTGAACATTTCTATTTAGTTTCATGAAAAATCCCTCCATACATGTAGGAGAGCTGAACTGATATTTACTTGAAAATTAAAATATAATTTAAATTTCTATGAGAAAGTATTTACATTTGATAAGGTAATTACTGTATGATCTTTATGAACAAATACCAAGTCTACAGAACACCATAGTTATCACAGTTAAGAATCTTGACCAATGAATGAAACATGTGTAAATAAATGTTACATTCTTTAGAACATACTCAAGTCCAAGAAAGAGGATTATTTTATGCCCTTTGATTAAATTCTATTTTTAGAATTGAAAGTGAAAGTAGATCAAGGGGAGTAATTGTGTAAGTCATTTATGAACAAAGTAATAACTTTGTTGTCGCCTTTGATTAAATTCTATTTACAAAATCTGGATATTTCATCATCTTTAGTGACCTTGACCTTATATATATTGACCTAAATTATATGTATCACAGCCATAGTCTTGATAATGACCATTTGTGTTACAATCCCTCAATAAATGATGACTAAATGGTCCATATACACATCTTCATATTCTTATCTGAACTTTGACCTCTATGTGTGACCTTGACCTTGGCCGCAAGGACCTGAATCTTGCACGCAACACTCCGCCTAACAATGGTGAACATTTGTGCCAGGTAATATTGAAATCCCTCTATACATGTGGAAGTTTTGCTCCGGACAAGCATTTTTCAATGAGCTCTAAGTGTGACCTTGACCTTTGACCTAGAGACCTGTTTCATGTGCGTAACACTGCTCCTCGAAGTGGTGAACATTTCTATGAAGTTTCATTAGAATCCCTCCATACATGTAGTAGATATGCTCCGGACAAAATTGGATGCCACCCGCCCGCCCGCCAGGGGCGTTCCCATAATACGTCCCGTTTTTCAAACGGGCGTATAAAAATCACCAAGATCTTGTACAACTATGAAATATTGATAATATAACAGTACTGGTACCTGTTTTCTTTTCAGCCATTTCAATACAAAACACATTGAGCAGGGTAACAAGGTCATCATCCTGTGATTGTCCAAACATGTCACCAGGCCACATTGTCCTGAAATGTTTCTACATTTATGCATTCTAAAAGTAAACTGGAAACCATAGAGTGAAGTTTGAATGTCATGTTTCATTTCTCGGCATCAAAACCTTCCAAGATCAGCAATTATAATGGTTTTAAGGTAGTACACCCCTAATGCACTACCTCTACTTTGAAGGGTATTCAAATTGGCTATAATCACTGCAAAGTGTATTGAAACTGAGGGGTGTGGGTTCAAACCCCAGAAGGGGCAACTTTTTTTTTCTTTTTAACATTTTTTATTAATCTCTCAGATCCCTAATGGAAGAAAAAAGTGATTCATTTTAATTATATAATTATTGTAGGTATTTATGTACTAAATAATGCCAAATTTAATAGCAAATATGATACAAGAATTTTTCAAAATTTAATAAAAAAAAACTACACGGTAAAGGTATTATATATTTTGCAAGACCAACAAATATACATTTAAGAGAAATTAGGCAAACTTTGAAAACAGCCCCTCATTGTGGAAAATTTTAGGGATATTTTACATCAGGCCTTTTACATAGGGAAATGGTCAAAAAAGTGTTGAAAGTGGGTGGGGTAGGGTTACATTTTTATAAATATTAAAAACATTTCGTTTAAAAACAATCATTTTGCTTGTTTAATTTGTTACCTAAATGTCATTATTTCTTTCTTAACAATGAGCTATAGGAAAACATTTTTCATAATGATGATATTATAGTTTATTTAGAGTTTCCTCATTTCTGAAAAAAGTCCTTCTAATGGCAAAGTTATGGTTCAGAAAAATGTCCATAACTCATAAACCACATGGTAAATGTTGTTTAAATTTTGCATACAGGTGACATTTAAGGCATATAACTGTCCTATATTGTCAATTTTACAGTTCCTTATAGTGCCCATCAGGGGTGTATTAAGTCTTTTTTTTTTTTAAAATCCTTTTTACTTTGATTAAATGGAGAAATTTATATTTTAAATAAAAATAAATTATACTGTTTTCAGGTCTTCAAAATCCTTAAAATCTTGATTAAATGGACAAAATTAATGGATATTTTGAATACGGACAATTATGAGTTATGGTCTTAATTTTCAGTAAGGATAACTTGTTTTTTTTTTATATCATTTGCTCCTGTCAGTACCAGTGTCTATGTATCAATCAGCCCTCAATAAGATTCACATCGACACAGTATGGGTCATATCGCGACGTTCCAGCTTTACTGGTGGAGGAAGACCTCTGGTGCATTGTTTCAGGCACACACAGGCACCTGAGTAGAACCACCAACATCTCGTAAGCTAGCTGAATAGCTTCCTCACATGTAAGAATCCAAAGTCCCTGTCAGGATTCAAACCCAGAGTGATGAGGGGCAATTGGTTTGAAGTCAACGACCTTAATCACTTGGCCACACACCCCTCCATAAGATTCATGTATTTATGTTAACAACTGTTTTCAAAAATATGAACAAGTCCATTTACTTGTTAAATGCTTAGAACTCATTGATTTTCTACAAATTGAATATGATGTTGATGTTAAAAATGTTTAAACAAAAAAATTATAAAAATACTTTTTAAAGGATATCTAAAGCAAACTATTTAAACAGTTCACTACTTTAAAAAGGTTTTAACAAATTCCTTTTAAAATATCTTTCAAACGATATCTTCAACAAAATACTGAAATAGTTCCCTACCAAACCATACCTGAAAGATCTGACAAGCTGAATTGCTTTTTGGTATTGTTGACTTTTGATATACTCTGTAAGACTGGAGAATGCATCTTGTTTTGTGACTGGTTTAGGGGAGTCAACATTTAGTGGTGATGCCTGACCATTCTCTAATTCTGACATGGCAGCAGTTACTTCCCCTTTAATACTCTCCACTTGTCCAGAAATATCATTCACCTAAATCAAGCAAAAAGTACATAAATTTTGCCGATCAATTAAATACTATTAATCTGTCCCTATAAAGCTATGTGGCTCTCTGTGGTGATAACTATTTCTCAACAAGAACCAGTTGAACCAGGTGATGCTCCCCAAGAAGGTTTTGGACACAGGGAAGTATAAAAAAAAATGAACAAAGGACAGAAACTCCAAAATTAATGGGATCTATCTACCTACAAAGTTTCATGTTGATACCTCTTATAGTTTTAGAGTTATGTCCCGGACAAAGTTCAAAGTGTCAAAATGAACAAAGGGCAATAACTCCAAAATTAGGCAAGACAGAGTTACGGTTCTTAAGATAGAGTTACGGTTCTTGTGCACTGCACACCTATTCAATGATATCTATCTACCTACAAAGTTTCATGTTGATACCTCTTATAGTTTTAGAGTTATGTCCAAGACAAAGTATAAACAAAGGGCAATAACTCCAAAATTAGGCAAGACAGAGTTCACTGCACTGCACACCTACTCAATGACATCTATCTACCTACAAAGTTTCATGTTGATACCTCTTGTTGTTTCAAAATTATGTCCCGGACAAGAAAAGCTGACAAACGGAAAGACGAACAGCCAAGGCGGCGACTATTCGAAAATTTTCGGGGAGCATAATTATGAAAACTAGAAACATTAACTTTTATGTGTACATGTTATAATGAGACAAGCCATTCTTTAAAAACCACAGACAACTATGTCTGAGTAAGTAGCTTTAAAGCTGAGAATCTAAAGTATGAGTTTTGAGAGAAGTTTAAAACAAGAGATTAGATAGTTTGAGAGCAGCATTTAGCAAATTCAAACTTCCGAGTTTTAACAGTAACCTTGAAATCGTCATTAAACTTAAAGTGTTATGCACGAGATGTCAAATCATATTGATGAGATACCCATATATCATTAATCATAATAATCTTTCAATGGAAGTTGAAATCCCTAATTGTGAGGTCTACTCAATCTGCTCTAAATGCTTTAAAACACATTTACAACCCCCTTTAATGTATATATATCATTTATGATCCTTATACATGTAAATGTCAATTTAAACAATGTGGACATGTATAAACTTACAGTAGAGGTAATGGTTTAAAATCTGTGCAATCATGAAAAAGAACAACTGGGATTTAAATATCAAATTTATCTTTCCTGAATGATTAAAATACTAGTTTTAAACACAATATTAAAATCTGATATATTTTCGAACACCATGTACTTGTATCAGCTAAATAAAGGTCTTATATTTAAACTGTTAAGTTTAAAATGTATACAATTTCAAAAATCAATGTTGCAAAACAAGGAAGTAAATATTGTTATCGAATTCCATGAATGCATGACTCCAATAGTAACAGCAAAATATTAACATTAAACCTTTAAAAAATAAAGACATTACAGTGGATGATTTTAAACCTGTGACACAATTTTGAGGATAACTGAAGGTAGGATGGTTTCCTTTTTGTTTTTCTTAATATTTAAATTATGCATAAACTGCTTTTTAAAGCATGATGGTTTTGGTTTTAAGCTCTACGGTAATAAAATACTGTTGACAAATTTAGGTTTATGAAATTTCAACACATTATTGAATAGGACTTTTTTAACAATGTTTAACCCTTTACCTCATATATACGCGAAACAACGCACTTTCAACCCCCACCCCCCTTTTAGGCCTCAAATAGTAAAAAAATATCCTGTTTTGGCCCCCACACATATTTATGTTTGAAAAATGTTGATAAAAAAGTGAGCATATTTTCGACGCTGCCCCCAATCCAAAAGGTACATCAGGAGGTTGCCAGAAGGGGGATGTGCCCCCTTATCTTTAAAGGGTTTGAAAGGGGCGGCAGTCCCCCTCATCGCCAAAACAAATTTTTTTGGACTTATGAGAGGCTTAAAATGACCCCAGGTCAATCATAAGGTTACGTGCACAAATGCTGAAAAGCCTTTGACATCCATTGAGAAGTTGCAGCACTTTGAAATCAATTTTGATGGAAAAAATCAACGCAAAATAGAGAGTTTTGGCAATTTTGAGATGTCCCCTCGTTGCCATGGTAACAGGAAATTTAACACTGAGCCTGTTGTTACAAAGGCAATGGTCCAGTCAACATATGTGCCAAATTTGATTAGTATTGAAGAAGTTTTTATAGTTTTATAGCAATTTGAACTTATAACGGGAGACTTTTCAATGAAAACAGCCATTTTTCACAAAATACTCATGCAGTAATGGGTTCATACATAAAAGCATATAAATAACACTTTTTAAACAGTAATGATGATCGCAAAAAATTAAAGATTTTCATTCCATATATTTTTTGCTTTTGTGCTGTCTGTATGTCTGTCTGTCTGCAGACAACATTTACATTGAACACAGCATCTACTTTGTATAAACTTGTCATAATTGATTAATTTATAGTGTTTGTTTCCCCTCCCACTTCCTTATCAGAAATATAATTGCTGCCTAAAAAATTAATTATCAATATAATAAAAACACACAAAAATAGAGGATATTGAATGAGTGCAAGTTCAATACTGAATTTATTGCACGAGTTGAATACAATTATATTATGCGAGCCTCTGGCGAGCATAATATTTTTTTATTCAACGAGTGCAATAAATTCGGTATTGAATTCACACGAATTTAATATTCTATTTATTACATACCCAAAATAAAGACAGTTTAAAGTGAAATGAGAGTCATTTTCATTGACGCGCCTAAAGTATAACGCTAATATTAAGCGCGTCTTTACACTATGTTTGTATAACGCTTATGACGTCACGTCAAAATATATGCACGGCCGTGCAATACCATATTTACGGAGTCGCAAAATCGGCACGGGTGTGTGATAAAAAAATATATGCAATATAAAAGAATATTTTGGATAAACAAACTTAATTGTTTTGGCTGACCAGGAAACATTCGAAACAAAGGCTTTTCATTCTCACATACAAAACAAAATAACTTTGGCCCGAAAATGAGGTAAAAGTAAAAAAAAAACGAAAGCATTCAAGTGTATATACAATTCAGTCAATAGCCAATATAAGATGAAATGCAGTTTTTATTTCTTGTTTTTATTAAATTGTGTAATAAATGAACTTGACATTTGATGTCAAAAAATGGAATAATTGTGATAATTTAGGCTCATGAAAGTTTCATTGATGAGGTACTAAATTCTCAATTCTTTAATTAAAATAGTTAATGTCATTTTGCCTGTCACAGTATTTCATTTGCCTGTCAAAATGGCATACTTACATACATGTATTTGTACATATTTCATTTTTGTTTGTCACAATGGCATACTTACATATTTGTACATATTTCATTTTGTTTGTCAAAATTGAACTTTCATATATGTGTACATGTCACAATGGCATACTTCTATATTTGTACTTTTTTGTGAAAATTGTATACTTAAATACCTGTAACAATGACATATTTGTACATATTTTATTTTGTCTGGCACAATGGCATACTTATTCATTTGTTCATATTTTCTTTTGTCTGTCACAATGGTATTCTTACAAATTTGTACATATTCGCCTTTAACAATGGCATACTTTTATATACAGTCGACTTTTGTTATCTCAAAGTCATCGGGACCGTTCAAAAAATATCGAGATAACGAAATGTCGAGATAAACGTATAAGGTTTGAACAAGGCAGTAACTGATTTTTACAAAGGCATGTGCATACCTTAAGTCAAATAAATTAAAAGTATGATATCTCCATGTCTTGTTTTCTTGAGCCTTATATCCCAAAGTCGATATTTAACAAAGTTAAATTAGCGGATGTTTACCAGCGGAAATATGGAAGTCTGTGATAAAAACACATAGTGAGGTTTACTCAGTAAAACACCACTATAGTGAAAACGTTTTCAACATGGTCGATCCAGATATCCTCCCGGGTTGGTTATCGGACCATTCTCGAGATAGTTATACCGCTGTTTGATATTTTTTTCGATGTTGTAAAACAATATTGCAACGAAAATGTTTCTATACTGAACACTTTTTCATTTACATCTAAAGTCACAATGAATTTAATACAGTGTTCAAATATTTTAAAAATAGCGGAAGATTCACTCATTTTGGACATAAGTCAATCAATACGTTAATTAGGTAAACTTTTATAAACAAAGCTCGACTTGTTACAAACATAGTCATCATTTTGACACATGCTATTAAGTGATTATTGTCAGGTTTGTGTTTTTCACACCTCTGCAGGGGAGAGACAAAAAATTATTAGTCGAGATAAAGAAAGGATAATAGCATGAAAATTACTGTTGGGGCTGAAATTTTACTTCGAGATACTGAAAATGTCGAAATAAAAATATCGAGCTAAACAAATATTTCCAATATAGATAAAGAAGGAAGAAAATCGGGACTTTCAAAATTTCATTGAGGTAACAAAATATCGAGAAAAGCGATGTCAAGATAACGATCGTTGACTGTATTTGTACATCATAAATTAAGTGTTAGTTTGATGAGATATGATATCACAACAAATATTTTTACTTTAACAAATACATAAAAATATAAATTTAAATGAAAACCAATACAGATCTTATTATGAAGTAAGAGAGTTATACATGTATTATAAGAACAAGTCTAAGATGTCTTATAGATAATAGATTTTTTGCTCAACCTTTTACCTCAAACAAGCCATTAATGTTAGCAATGTACTACCTATGTTTTGAATTGTCTGCTAGAGTATGACATAATTACATATATACCAAAAGGCAATTTAAACAAGAGGGCCATGATGGCCCTGAGGTCGCTCACCTGTATATAGCCCCCCCCCCCCCAACGCCAGGCCAATTTTTACCCAAGGGCTTTTATTTGTTTATTTGAACAGACTTGGTAGACACCCATAAGAAGATGTTTCATGCTAAACATCTAAGTTCTAGCTCATTGGGTTTTTTAAAAGAAGATTTTTAAAGTTTTTACTATACACATACAGTTAAAAACAATGACACCCCTGGGGCAGGGCCATTTTTGACCCCCAGGCTTTTATTTGAACAAACTTTGTAGATATTTACTTAAAGATATTTCATGCTTAATATCTAAACTCTAGCTATTTGGGTTTTTTCAAAGAAGATTTTTAAGTTTTTGCTATACACATATAAGGAAAATCAATGACCCCCCCGGGCGGGGCCAATTTTGACCCCAGGGCTTTTATTTGAACATTATTGGTAGACACCCATTGGAACATGTTTCATGCTAAATATCTTAGCTCTAGCTCTTTGAGTTCTTTAAATGTGGATTTTTTAAGTTTTTACTATTTGCATATAGGGAAAATCTATGACCCCCTGGGGCGGGGCCAATTTTGACCCCAGGGCTTTTATTTGAACAAACTTGGTAGACATTCACTAGAAGATGTTTCATGCCAAATATCTAAGCTCTAGCTCTTACGGTTCTTTAAAAGATAATATTTAAAGTTTTTACTATATGCATATAGGGAAAATCAATGACCCCCGGGGCGGGGCCAATTTTGACCCAAGGGCTTTTATTTGAACAAACTTGGTAGACACTCACTAGAAGATGTTTCATGCCAAATATCTTAGCTCTAGCTCTTTGGGTTCTTTAAAAGAAGATCTTTTAAGTTTTTACTATATGCATATAGGGAAAATCAATGACCCCCTGGGGCGGGGCCAATTTTGACCCCAGGGCTTTTATTTGAACAAACTTGGTAGACACTCACTAGAAGATGTTTCATGTCAAATATCTAAGCTCTAGCTCTTAGGGTTGTTTAAAAGAAGATATTTAAAGATTTTTCTTTCGATTGCCATGGCAACCAGAGTTCTGCATGGAATTAAATTCTTTGAACAATTTTTAAAGGCGACCACCAAAGGAACATTCCTGTGAAGTTTGGATGAAATTGGCTCAGTGGTTTATGAGGAGATGTCATTTAAAGCAAAACTTTACGGACGGACGCCGGACGACGGACGGACGCCGGACGAAAAGCGATCACAAAAGCTCACCCTGTCACTTTGTGACAGGTGAACTAAAAAAATGCAATACACAGTAATCTATTATTATACATTTTAGGTAAAACATGGCAGTCTCAGGAAAGAAAGCATCAAAACAATTTTTATCATCTACAACATCCATGGCATCAGATGAAGATCTTCAAATTTACTGCCAACCTTGTGACGAGGAAGGACCTAGACTACCTGCCCATGGTTACTGCACTGACTGCAAGGAACACCTCTGCAAGACATGCTTTAGAGCCCATAAAGTCAGTAGGTTTTCCAAACATCACACACTTCAGGACGCTACTAATATGCCTAAAGTATTGCAGCAACCCTCAACATCTATTCACACAGGCCAGTCTGATGTCCTGACCACACCCTGTCTTAAACATCCACAAGAAATGATCAAGTTCTACTGCAATGACCATACAGAATTACTCTGCAGTGTTTGTGTTACCCTTGAACATCAAGCTACTTCCTGCAAAGTTGATTATATACCAGACATTTCTGGTGATATATTAGACAGCAAGCAATATCAAGATATTCTTAAAACATTGAATCACACTTCTGACCAATTTCAACAGATGGTAGAAGATGTCAAGAACATGACAAACAAATCAAACAGCTCACTCAAAGAATCATTGGCAGAAATCAAAAAGTTTCGGCAAGAAATCAACCAAAGACTAGATGTACTTGAGAGACAGGCTGAAGATGCAGCTAAAGTCATAAAACAAAAAAACAACAAAAATCTGAAAGCAGTAGAAACAACATATGAAGATATGAGCAAATCCCTGAAAACATCATCAGATAAAATCAAACAACTCAACACATCAAAACAGACCAACAAACTTTTCATGGAACTTAAACTTGCAGAGAAAACAATACACAATGTGAAGGGAAAAACTCAACAACTTTTATCATATGATATCAAAGAGCACAACTTTCAATCAAATGATGAAATATTAAATTTCCTTAAAACAGAGGAGTCACTGGGTACATTGACACATAAAACTTTTAATACAGAATCTCAATCTGTACAAATAAAGTCTAGGCAACCTTCACATGAGGGAGAAATCTGTGTGAAGACATCAAAAGATAAATATAGATGCTGGATAATAGGAATGACTCTGCTGACTCCTGATCTTCTTATCATCACTGACTATGATAACAAAGCTGTAAAGATGGTGGATACCAACAGTCAATCTGTGTCTGATCAACTACAACTAGATGCTGAACTATGGGATATCACTACAGTAACAAGTACTCAAGTTGCTGTCACACTTCCTAGCATACAGACAATACAGTTTATATCAATCTCATCAAACAAACTCATAATGAAGCACACTGTAAAGGTTGGTGGAAACTGTCATGGTATAAGCTGTTACCAAAGTAAACTTGTTGTGTCATTCTTTAATCCTGCAAAACTTCAGATCCTTGATATAAATGGCACTATACTGACAACAACTGATGGAAAATATATTTTCCAAAATCCACGGTATATCATATGTAACAGAAGTTCTATCTATGTATCTGACAGTGGCATGAAGAGAGTAAGATCTATCTATGGATCTAACGATGACATGAAAAGAGTAACAATGTTAAACTGGCAAGGTGATGAAATAGGTAGTTATAGTGGTATGGGTGATCCTAGAGGAATGTCACTGTCAGATGATGGTACTGTCTTTGTGTGTGTCTGGCAGAGATATGGGAGACACTTTGTTATAGAAGAGATATCAGTAGATTGTTCTACAGGAAAGGTGGTGCTGCAGGATCATAAGAGACCACAGGCTGTATGTTGGTGTGGAAAAACAAAGAAACTGTATTACAGCTGTTATGTGTCAGATGAAAAGTATGGCAACTTCCTTCAAATCTATAAACTGTCGTAGAACAATACAACTTTAACTGTATTTTATCAAAACCAGTTAATACCCAATTCACTGCCTATGTTTGTTATTTTGTCAACATTTAAGTGCGTAGATCTACAGTAAGCACATTTTCCATAAGTGTTTTAAAAAATTGCTATAAACAAAAGAAATGTATCATTTGGAAATTGTATTTAAATATTGCTTGGGAAAAAGTGTTATTAATGTTTTAACTAGTATACATAGTATGAAACATGTATATGATGGATAATAACATTTTGTTATAGAACATTTTTATTATCTGCAATATAAATATATGTATTATCGGATCATGTGTCTCACACCGGCCAACAAGATTTATAGAAACTTTTTTTGTGGTTTGTATTTATATCTAATACTAAACACTTTCAACATCATAATTTTTTGTTTTACAAATCATCCATTATAGACCGATTCACTTTACAGTAAGCCATTAAAAATAAAATTGGTTTTGTCATATAATCATATTACAAATTTAGGGAAGAACTGCTTTAAAACATTTAAAAGCCTATGTGATTTGGTCACATACTCTTTAATTAACATTACGGTTGAATGATCTGAGGTAATCTTCTGCTGATGAAGAACTTGTGTGATGATTTTACAAGAAAGCTACAATATTGAATAATGGTAATAAAATACTGAATAATGATAAATTTTACATTTACTGTCTGTAAATAGTAAACAAGAGGGCCATCATGGCCCTGAGGTCGCTCACCTGTATATAGGCCCCCGGAGCAGGGCCAGTTTAAACCCTAGGCCTTTTATTTGAACAAACTTGGAAGACACTCGTAAGAAGATGTTTCATGATGTTAAGTTTTTACTACACACATATAATGAAAAACAATGATCTCCTTCTTCACTCTCCCCCCCCCGGCAGGGCCAATTTTAACCCAAAGGCTTTTTATTTGAACAAACTTGGTTGATACCTATAAGATGTTTCATGCTAATCATCTAAGCTCTAGCTCATTGAGTTTTTTAAAAGAAGATTTTTTAAGTTTTTACTATACACATATAGTTTAAAACAATGACACCCCTGGGGCGGGGCCAGTTTTGACCCCTGGGCTTTTATTTGAACAAACTTTGTAGACACTTACTAGAAGATGTTTCATGCTTAATATCTAAACTCTAGGTATTTGGGTTTTTTCAAAGAAGATTTTTTAAGTTTTTGCTACACATATAAGAAAAATCAATGACCCCCAGGGCGGGGCCAATTTTGACCCCAGGGATTTTATTTGAACAAACTTGTTAGACACTCATTAGAAGATGTTTCATGCTAAATATCTTAGCTCTTGCTCTTTGAGTTCTTTAAAAGAAGATTTTTTAAATTTTTATTATATGCATATAGGGAAAATCAATCACCCCCATGGGTGGGGCCAATTTTGACCCCAGGGCTTTTATTTGAACAAACTTGGTAGACACTCACTAGAAGATGCTTCATGCCAAATATCAAAGATTTAGCTGTAAGGGTTTTTAAAAGATAATATTTAAAGTTTTTTCTTTCGGTTGCCATGGCAACCAGAGTTCTGCATGGAATTAAATTCTTTGAACAATTTTCAAAGATGACCACCAAAGGAACATTCCTGTGAAGTTTGGATGAAATTGGCTTAGTGATTTATGAGGAGATATCATTTTAAGTAAAAGTTTACGGACAGACGGACGCCGGACTGACGCCGGACGAAAAGCGATCACAAAAGCTCACCCTGTCACTTTGTGACAGGTCAGCTAAAAAATAATAAAAAATTATTATTCAACTGCAAATTTTAAATACCTATTTTATGCCTATTGATAATGTAATACATTTTTAAAAGACTTTTAAAAGAGATTTGCTTGGATATATCATTTGAATACTTTTTCACCAAATGGAACAAATTGCAAAGTTCTGTTTTAATGCATTTCTCTTTTTATTTCTGTAAATAACTAAAAAGTATTTTTTATATACCTTAGTCGTTTTTTTTAGTGTTTTTACTTAATAAAGTTTTACCGGTGTTTCACTTAATATTTGTTTTACTGGTGTTTCACTTAATATTTGTTTTACTGATGTTTCACTTAATATTTACTAACTGAAATACTTGAACAATTCTGAATTTAAGCGAGTAAGCACTGTGACTTAAATTTGTTTTCTTACATAGATACACATGTTATAATTTATATATAAATTTTGTACAGGACAATGTGATGTTACATGCCAGAATACCTATGCTCTTAACATTTATAGTTTTATAGAAAATTTGTAAAGATTTTATTTTTAAACATTTTTTAGCTCATATACCCTATGTGTGCAATGGACTGACATAATTTATATAACTTTTGTACAGGACAATGTGATTTTACATACCAGATACCTATGCTCTTAACATTATAGTTTTATAGAAAATTTGTAAAGATTTTATTTTTAAACATTTTTTAGCCCATATATCCTATGTGTGCAATGGACTGACATAATTTATATAACTTTTGTACAGGACAATGTGATTTTACATACCAGATACCTATGCTCTTAACATTATAGTTTTATAGAAAATTTGTAAAGATTTTATTTTTAAACATTTTTAGCTCATATATCCTATGTGTGCAATGGACTGACATCATTTATATATAACTTTTATACAGGGTCATTTTAGGATCATTCCTTTAGGTCAAAATTCACACATTGTTTAAGTAAATGTTGTTTATATGAATTGTTGAGAACAATTGTCAAATAGCAATGACTATTTAATGCCAGGGTTAGCTAAAAAAACATCAACATATAAATGAGAGAATCTTTAGGATGTTTACCTGTGAGGCTGTCTGTACAAGTTTGAAACAATCTAGTAGCTTGATGTTACTTTCAAACAGCATAACTAGTTGGAAAATTAGTTTATATAACTTTTGGCACAGATCTAATTTCTGAAAAAAAGAGAAGAAAATCTGATAAACTGTATCAAATTTTTACTACATGTGATTTTTTACTTGTATGCATTTTTAGAAAATAAAGTTTGATTTAACAAAGTGATAGTTATTTTGAATCATGATTGTCCCCAATTTCTAACCTGAAATACATTGATGGCAGTCAAACTCATTTCAGGTAAAAGCAATTTTGGGTTTAATGTCCCAACAACACTTTAGGTCATATGGCGACCTTCCATCTTTACCGCTGGAGAAAACTTCAAGTGGCCTTCCATGCTTTATTTCAGGCAGCATGAACGGGCACTTCAGAAGAATAACAGACATTCCAAAAGCTAGCATGAAGAATTGAAGGTCCCTGTCAGGATTCAGTTGTGGAGGGCAAGTGGTTTGAAGCTATTTGACCATAAACGTCACTTTGTATATGTTGTCATTTTTGGCCCAAGCTGCATTATTTTTGAAACATTTGTAGATCAGATGTATTCCAGGAAATGCTACATATGTACCAAACCATCAAAGCATTGTCTTCATACAAGATGAATTAAATGTGTTGTTATATTTTTCTGGTCCATGGGCATCATTGAGTCCAGCACTTTTTAGTGTTGAGAAATGAGTAATGCTCAAGTCGGTGCTAGTATAGGGGGCATAAGTGATGTTGCACTTTTTTTATTATATCTCATACATGACTCAATCAAACCAAGCATGCAATCTATATAATTTTGCTGTATTTAATGCTTCAAAGGGATCACTTTTTTCCAAGATATATACTATGCAGTGCTATATATACTATGTGACCAGAAGGCTGAACCTTTTCGATCCCATGGGCATAATTTTTTTCAATTTTGTTAAGGACCACAAAGCAAATGCTACATTCATTTGTACTCAAAGAAAATCTAAGTTCTGGGCAATATAATTTTACAAAAGACAACTTAAATGTGTTTTCCTATACAATTAGACATAAAATAAGTGACCAAAGGTATGGGCAAATTTTGGACGAAGGAGCAAGACTTATATAACTGTTGTTGAGGTTCATAAGGCAGATATACTTGCCAAAAATCTAAGTTCTGGGCTTTGTAGATTTTGAGAAGACCACTTTAAACTTAACTTTTTTCTTATAAAAGTTAATAAGTTAATATAAACTACAGTCGAACTTCAGTAAGTCCAAGTTGAAGGGACTTGCGTCAAAACTTCGACACATCGTTGCTTCGACTCATGAATCGCTCTCAATTCCATGACAAAATTTCGACCCGTGACTAGTCCTAATTATAAGATCTATAACGAAACCTATTTCATGTTTTTCCATCATTAATCTGATATTTACATTTTGCAAGGATAAATATAGCATGTTAAATAGGGTTTTTCACGGCTAATTATTTGGACTACCCATTGACATATACAAAAGAGTTATAAAAGACGTATTGATACGAAAGGGTGATAACTAAACCAACTTATTAGTAAATATTTTGCGTGTTAATTTCAGACGCAACACCAGGTCAAGGATGTTTTCAAATGAAAGTAGTTCTTACTGTTTACTTTCAAATACCACTACGGCAATTAAAATAGTTACGATTTAAGTATTTTATCACACATTTTATCGCAAACAAATGCTGTTTTAACACATGGCTGTGCAATTAACACCTATCACACAAGTTGATTGGAAATCGTCTTCGCAGCCAGATAAGGTGTGAAAAATGTCTCGAGATCAAAGGTGTCAAAACAATCAAACGACTTCGACTTATTTGTGGTAAATTGCACTAGATTTATTTATACGGACCACGAAAAAACCTTGACACTTCCAAAAATTTGACACATAAAATTTTAACTCATAAATAGGTTTTTATAAGGAATATATAGGGGGGAAAGTTGGGACTTTCATTTTTCTTCGATACATCGAGAAAAATCGACTAATCTAAGTTCGACTCATAGAAGTTCTACTGTAATTGATACCCTGGGTTGGGACCAATTTTGGTCCAAGGGTGGTATTTATAAAACTTTTGTAGAGGACAACAAGGTGATGCTATTTGCCAAAAATCTCAGCTTTTGGCATTGATGTTTCAAAAAATAAGACTGTATTTTTCCTGCACAAGTCTATATAAACTTGAACTAGGGCAATTTTGGCCCAAAGGGTAACTAGACCCTCAGGGCTGGGCCATTTTTTACCAATGAACATTATGTACATAATTTTATAGATGAGCATAAGGTAATGCCACATGCCAAAATTAAACTTCCACCATTGTTATTTCCAAGCAGCATTTTAAGGCATTTTTACTGTTACAGTCTATGTACAAAGGTCTATTTAAAATAAGTGACACATAGGTTGGGCCATTTTTGACAAAAAGGGAACGATTAGTGTAACATTTGTAACAAGGTGAATGTGTGTCTTTTAATATGAAACCTTTATTCTTTTAGAAATCATAATGAATTCAATACCCTAGATATAAACATAGAACATGACTCAAAACTTAAATTACATTACCATGTCACCATAAGTGTTACTAAAGGCTATCAAAATATTACCTGTTCTTCACTACATTGTATAGGAAAGCTTCCACCATCACCAAGTGATTGCTGTTTAATTGATACCTTGATTTCTTCTAAACTCTAAAATATAAATTTACAATAACATGAAATAAATCAGAGATAGTTAATACCGACAGCTTTAATCCTAATTGTATGAGAAAGCATTACCTAATGATTCTTATTGTTTTATTTCAAATTTATAAAATTGAGATGGATTGAGTAGAAAGCTATAAGTTATCTTAAAACATGTCAGTCTAAAGGGTATAAAGCTTTGTCAGTAGAATAGTTGTTTGTTTATTAAAACAAGAACCGGTTGAACCGGGTGATGCTCCCTGAAAAGGTTCTGGACACAGTAAAGTATAAAAAAATGAACAAAGGGCAAAACTCCAAAATTAGGCAAGGCGGAATTATGTTTTTTTTTGCACTGCACTTCTATTCAATGAGATCTATCTATCTATAAAGTTTCCTAATGATATCTCTTATAGTTTCAGAGTTATGTCCCGGGTAAAATTAAAAGTGTAAAAATGAACAAAGGGCAATAACTCCAAAATTAGACCAGGCTTTGTTTAGGTTATTTAAGCATTGCAGTTCTATCCAATGATATCTAGCTACCTACAAAGTTTCATGTTGATATCTCTAATAGTTTTAAAGTTATGTACCGGACAAAAGTCAAAAAGTAAAAATAAACAAAGGGCAATAACTTCAAAATAAGGCAAGGCAGTGTAATGATTCTTAAGCACTGCACTTCTACCCAATGAGATCTATCTACCTAAAAAGTTTCATGTTGAAACCTCTTATAGTTTTAGAGTAATGTCCCAGACAAAGTTCAAAGTGTCAAAATAAACAAAGGGCAATAACTTCAAAATTAGGCAAGACAGTGTTACGGTTCTTGTGCACTGCAAACCTACTTAATGAGATCTATCTACCTACAAAGTTTCATGTTGATACCTCTTATAGTTTTAGAGTTATGTTCTGGACAAAGTTCAAAGTGTGAAAATAAACAAAGGGGAATAATTAAAAGATTAGGCAAGGCAGAATTACAGTTCTTGTGCACTGCACACCTACTCAATGAGATCTATCTACCTACAAAGTTTCATGTTGATATCTCTTATAGTTTTAGTGTTATGTCCCGGACAAAGTTCAAAGTGTAAAAATAAACAAAGGGGAATAATTAAAAAAAAAAGGCATGGCAGAGTTACAGTTCTTGTGCACTGCCCACCTACTCAATGAGATCTATCTACCTACAAAGTTTCATGTTGATACCGCTTATAGTTTTTAGAGTTATGTCCAGGACAAAGTTCAAAAAGAACAAGATATGTTTTTAAAACATGTATGCCCCCTATCGGCAGCCAATTAGTCATGTGATCAGGTTATTATGTATGACTTCTGACCCTGTGAACAAACAATTAATAAGGGTTATCTAGTATCTACTGGTCATGACTAGTCACAAGGTAATAATTATTGTGACCCCATAGGTTGTGTGCAGCAAATTAAGTTATTACAAATCTTACCAAATAATATATGCACAAATTTTATGAATCATGTAGGCCTCATTAATGACAGCCAAGTTGTTATATTACATAAGACCTTCAAATTTGTATACCAAAAGCAGTTTTACTTTAATATAAAAATATTATTGGTTATTGGTCAGAAACCGTCATTAGGTACAAGTTCAATATGACATTGACCCCTTGACCCCAAAATCAATAGGGGTCATCTACTGGTCATGACCTATCATCATACAAAGTTTGAAGTTCCTAGGCCTAAGCGTTCTTTAGTTATTGATCGGAAACCGTTTTTACCTACAAGATCAATGTGACCTTGACCTTGGACCCCTTGACCCCAAAATCAATAGGGGTCATTTGCTGGCAATGACCAATCATCATACCAAGTTTGAAGTTTCTAGGCCTAAGCGTTCTTTAATTGATTGGAAACCGTTTTTACCTACAAGGTCAATATGACCTTGACCTTTGACCCCTTGACCCAAAAATCAATAGGAGTCATCTGCTGGTCATGACCAATCACCATACCAAGTTTGAAGTTCCTAGGCCTAAGCCTTCTTTAGTTATTGATCGGAAACCGTTTTTACATACAAGGTCAATGTGACCTTGACCTTTGACCCCTTGACCCAAAAATCAATAGGGGTCATCTGCTGGTCATGACCAATCACCATACCAAGTTTGAAGTTCCTAGGCCTAAGGGTTCTTAAGTTATTGATCGGAAACCGTTTTTACCTACAAGGTCAATGTGACCTTGACCTTTGACCCCTTGACCCCAAAATCAATAGGGGTCATCTGCTGGTCATGACCAATCATCATACCAAGTTTGAAGTTCCTAGGCCTAAGGGTTCTTTAGTTATTGATCGGAAACCGTTTTTACCTAAGAGGTCAATGTGACCTTGACCTTTGACCCCTTGACCCCAAAATCGATAGGGGTCATCTACTGATCATGACCAATCACCATACCAAGTTTGAAGTTCCTAGGCCTAAGGGTTCTTTAGTTATTGATCGGAAACCGTTTTTGCTTACAAGGTCAATGTGACCTTGACCTTTGACCCCTTGACCCCAAAATCGATAGGGGTCATCTACTGGTCATGACCAATCACCATACCAAGTTTGAAGTTCCTAGGCCTAAGGGTTCTTTAGTTATCACTCGGAAACCATTTGGTCTACGGACCGACGGACCGACAAGTGCAAAGCAATATACCCCCTCTTCTTCGAAGTGGGGGCATAAAAATAAACAAAGGGGGATAATTCAAAAATTACACAAGGCAGAGTTACTGTTCTTGTGCACTGCACACCTACTCAATGAGATCTATCTACCTACAAAGTTTCATGTTGGTACCTCTTATACATTTAGAGTTATGTCTCAGACAAAGTTCAAAGTGTAAAATAAACAAAGGGGAATAATTAAAAAATTAGGCAAGGCAGAGTTATGGTACTTGTGCACTGCACTACAACTCAATAAGATCTATCTACCTACAAAGTTTCATGTTGTTACCTGTTATACTTTTAGAGTTATGTCCCGGACAAAGTTCAAAGTGTAAAAAGTAAACAAAGGGAAATAATTCAAAAATTAGGTAAGGCAGAGTTACGTTTCTTGTTCACTGCACACCTACTCAATGAGACCTATTTACCTACAAAGTTTCATGTTGATACCTTTTGTTGTTTCAAAGTTATGTCCCAGACAAGAAAAGCTGATGGACGGACGGACGGAAAGATGGACAGACGGACAAGGTGGTGACTATATGCTCCCCCGAAATTTTTTGGGAAGCATAAAAATCATACCAAAGTATCGAAAATGAAAGTATGTTAAGTTGATGGGGTATTCACAAATGCAAAGCAAGACTTTCTAAAATCAGCAGTAGAAAATGTTTCGTCTGGGAAAATTTATTATAATTCATGCTTGAAATAATACAGACGTCTTAAAAATTTTCTCCAGGTATGATCATAATACTGTGAAATCCAATTTATTTTACAGTTTGAATTTTTTAGTATACATGTATTTCATCACTTTCAGCTTTACACCAATTAAAGCCAAAACATTCAACACTAATACAAGGATAGTACTTTTTCTAAACAAGAGCCGGTTGAACCAGGTAATGCTCCCTGACTGGGTTTTGGACACAGAAAAGTATATCTTTCATAGTTTTGAGAGTTATATCCCAGACAAAGTTTAAAATGTGATAATTTCAAACTAAGGCAAGGCAAAGTTACTGTTGTTTGCACTGCACTTCTACTCAATGAGATCTAACAACCGACTTGCAGGCAACACATTGTCTCGATATGGTGATCATTTCTGTGAAATAGTAGTAAAATCTGACCCAAATGCTGCGGGCGACATGTCCTCTAGATATGGTGATCATTTCTGTGAAATAGTTATAAAATCAGACTTCAAATAACAAAGTTATGGGCCAGACATGATTTTGCTGCAAGGTCATGCTGTGACCTTGACCTTCAATGAAGTGACCAAAATGTTGCGCACGACACGTCATCTCAATATGGTGATCATTTCTGTGAAATACCTGTAAAATCCAACTTCAAATAATGAAGTTATGGGCCGGACATGATTTTGCTGAAAGGTCATGCTGTGACCTTGACCTTGAAGGTAGCGACCCAAATTTTGCGCATGACATGTCTTCTGAATATGGTGATTATTTCTGTGAAATAGTTGCATAATCTGACTTCAGATAACGAAGTTATGGCGCAAATTTTGCTTGATTCGGGACGTACGTACGGATGGACGGACAACCCGGCAACTTTATGCTCCACCGAAATTATTCGGGGAGCATAAAAAAAGATTTATAGGATATATAACTAGTTTTTTTAAAATATTTTTCTCTAGAACAAAAATAGCAAACCTGTTCAGCTTGGTCTTTCCTCATACAGTAGTTCTCAAAACATTCCTGCATCTCTAGTAGACAATACTTGTGTTTGTCTACCACTCGACTACCAACCAACTAAATATACAAATAGATAAAATCATTATATATATAATATTAACAGTGTTCATTAAATAATATAACACCTATGTCACAAAATTTTCTTTTATAAAGCATCACTTTCAGCTCATGACGAAAATATTACAATTATCACCTCTACACAGACGATCAATAAGATAATCATGAATAAATCAGTGACAATTATATTCTATTTTCTTTGTTTTTTTGTTGGGTATTACGGCGAACCAACACAGTTAATGTCATATAGCACTGGAACTTGAAAGACGATTTTGGCCAACCCTAGGTGTTACAAACTTTAAGCATCACCAAGTATTAAAACTATTTCACCTGCTGGATAGACTCCAATAATTTTAACCCATTTAGTCACCTCTTATGATTATGCAGGGTTAAACCATGACTACGATTCTGATGTATCAACACGAAAAGGCAACCCCTCAGCCACAAGAGGCGCTTGAACGGACACTAGGACACAATCAAATTGTTTTGAATCGACTAAGAAGTGCATAATATGTTAATTATAACTCATTAAGTTAATTTGGATAGACTTCAAATTGCAATTTAAATTTATTTCAATATACATTTTGTATCAATATGTAAAAAATTCAACATAGATAATTTTTTTGTGAAAATTAATCGCTTTTTTAGGTAAAAATAGCTTTTTTAAGACTCATACATACCACATCGGTTTCAATGAAGAAATATGGACATTCCAGATGAGTGAACATGGTATCTAATGCCTGCAGTAATCTTAGTTAAGGTCAAAATAAAATTAATAACTTTGGTAAGAGCTTACATCACTTGCAACAATATTATTTTACCTATACCTCCTATATGAACTGAGACAAGCCTGTATATACCCATGCAGTCTGAGAAGATCCTATACTGTTTTGTTTGTTTTGTAAGTTTTAATTCAAAGTGACTATGTAAAGGACATATGGTAACTTTCCAAATTTCCAGATGCCCTATTCAAAGAAAACCACAGACCTACTAACCCTCTGTAAGCTAGGTAAAGAGCTTTTTCACATGAAAGAATTCTTGACACAATTTTGAAGCAACAGCAGTGAACACCAATTCGAATCTACATTGTTCACATTGCTCAAAAGCACAATTTTCAAATTTAGTCTTCATTGTAACAAAAACAAGCAAAGTATACAAATTCAGCAAGGGAAATGCCAATATTTATAGTTTTAGGAATAAATGCAAAGCTGAGGCTTCTTAAATACTTATGCAAGTTTGTGACTACAAATCAAACTTAAACTAAACTTTACAAAGGATATATAATTGAGCTCCGATGTTTTTCAGTCCCTCTGTTTTGGAAATATAATACACAGCATCTTTAGTTAATGTAGCAAGTCTTCTTCTCAGCTCCTGTAAATAATGTATAAACTTGGAATATTAAAGTGACATTATGTTTATTTAGTTGGGTTTAACGTCACACCGGTGTCATGGGGAGGTTCCAGCTTGACTGGTGGAGGAAGACTTCAGGTGCCCCTTCGTGCACAAACAGGCTAGGCATGAAGAGGTACCTTAGTAGAACCACCAACACTCAAGTTCTACAGCAGATAGGAGTGAATCTTCAAATTTCAAAAGCTCATAACCATATGCATCAATTCTACTATAAGTGTTCCATATCATTTGCACTAATTTAATGTAATATTTAACTGGACATTTTATCAATAATTAAAGCTGCATGCTTCTATATGAGCCAAAATATGTCAAGGAAATTAAACTTGTGAAAAATGTACTGAGAATTCAAACAAGAGGGCCATGATGGCCCTGAGGTCGCTCACCTGTATATAGGCCCCCGAAGCGGGGCCAGTTTGAAACCCCAGGGCTTTTATTTGAACAAACTTGGAAGACACTTATTAGAAGATGTTTCACAATGTAAAGTTTTTACTACACACATGTAATGAAAAACAATGGTCTCACCAGCCCCCCTCCCCCCGGCAGGGCCAATTTTCACCCAAGGGCTTTTATTTGAACAAACTTTGTAGATATCCATAAGAAGATATTTCATGCTAAACATCTAAGCTCTAGCTCATTGGGTTTTTTAAAAGAAGATTTTTAAGGTTTTACTACACACATATAGTTAAAAACAATGACACCCCAAGGGCGGGGCCAGTTTTGACCCCAGGGCTTTTATTTGAACAAACTTTGTAGACATTTACTAGAAGATGTTTCATGCTTAATATCTAAACTCTAGCTATTTAGGTTTTTTTCAAAGAAGATTTTTTAAGTTTTTACTATATGCATATAGGGAAAATCAAGACCCCCCGGGGCGGGGTCAATTTTGACCCAGGGGCTTTTATTTGAACAAACTTTGTAGACACTCACTAGAAGATGTTTCATGCTTAATATCGAAACTCTAGCTATTTGGGTTTTTTTCAAAGAAGATTATTTAAGTTTTTGCTATACACATATAAGGAAAATCAATGACCCCCGGGGCAGGGCCAATTTTGACCCCAGGGCTTTTATTTGAACAAACGTGGTAGACACCCATTAGAAAATGTTTCATGCTGAATATCTTAGCTCTAGCTCTTTGAGTTCTTTCAAAGAAGATTTTGTAAGTTTTTACTATATGCATACAGGGAAAATCAATGACCCCCTGGGGCGGGGCAAATTTTGACCCAAGGGCTTTTATTTGAACAAACTCGGTACACACTCATTAGAAGATGTTTCATGCTGAATATTTTAGCTCTAGCTCTTTGGGTTCTTTAAAATGAGATTTTTAAGTTTTTAATATATGCATATAGGGAAAATCAATGACCCCCTGGGGCGGGGCCAATTTTGACCCAAGGGATTTTATTTGAACAAACTTGGTAGACGCTCACTAGAAGATGTTTCATGCCAAATATCTAAACTCTAGCTATTTAGGTTTTTTCAAAGAAGATTTTTTAAGTTTTTACTATACGCATATAGGGAAAATCAAGACACCCCCTGGCACGTCCAATTTTTACCCCAGGGCTTTTATTTGAACAAACTTTGTAGACACTCACTAGAAGATGTTTCATGCTTAATATCTAACTCTAGCTATTTGGGTTTTTTCAAAGAAGATTTTGTAAGTTTTTACTATATGCATATAGGGAAAATCAATGACCCCTTGGGGCGGGGCCATTTTTGTCCCCAGGGCTTTTTTAGGGTTTTTTCAAAGAAGATATTTAAAGTTTTTTCTTTCGGTTGCCATGGCAACCAGAGTTCTGCATGGAATTAAATTCTTTGAACAATTTTTAAAGGTGACCACCAAAGGAACGTTCCTGTGAAGTTTGGATGAAATTGGCTTAGTGGTTTATGAGGAGATGTCATTTAAAGTAAAAGTTTACGGAAGGACTACAGACGGATGGACGAACGCCGGACGAAAAGCGATCACAAAAGCTCACCCTGTCACTTTGTGACAGGTGAGCTAAAAAAAAGAGTAATGACTTCCATGTTATGTGCAATTTATGACCAATTTTACAGTATTTTTTTCACAATATTTCTACTGCGTGAATAATGCAGTAAGGGCTATTTTAACAGGGTTTGACCTCTTTTTGGTAAAAAATATGGGTTGTAAGTGCAGTTTGCAATGAGTAAATTACTTTCTTTGTTCACTTCACAATATTTTACTTTTAATTACATTTTCAAAATTTTCATGAAAATTAGCATGAATCTATGGGCGTGTTGCTTTAAGAGAGAAACAGTTACCCTGTAAAGTTTGGGGAAGATCTGCGACGTGTAAACTGTATTGGTCACAGATGACTCTGAGATGACCTTTGACACGTGTTGTTTCCACGTCTCATCAACCTCGTCACCTTAGTTCATCAAGTACACATAACTGACAAGAAAGTTTGGGAATGTTACAGATGAAGCGCTTGCTCCAAGGTCAACTAAATCTGGGTCATCGCTACAGATGCTGTCAACACTATGTCTGAAATAGGTAAAGTCTACCTCATTCAGTATATCATTGTGATAACAACTACAGTCAACCAATAAACAAGATATGTTTGTAAAACATGTATGCCCCCTATCGGCAGCCAATTAGTCATGTGATCAGGTTATTATGCATGACTTAATCTGACCCAGTGAACAAACAATTAATAAGGGTTATCTAGTATCTACTGGTCATGACTAGTCACAAGGTAATAATTATTGTGACCCCATAGGTTGTGTGCAGCAAATTAAGTTATTAATACAAATCTTACCAAATAATATATGCATAAATTTTATGAATCATGTAGGCCTCATTAATGACAGCCAAGTTGTTATATTACATAAGACCTTCAAATGTGTATACCAAAAGCATTTTTAGTTTAATATAAAAATATCAACCATGGCAACTTGAGTTGTTGAGTTATTGGTCAGAAACCGTCATTAAGTACAAGGTCAATATGACATTGACCCCTTGACCCCAAAATCAATAGGGGTCATCTATTGGTCATGACCAATCATCATACAAAGTTTGAAGTTCCTAGGCCTAAGCGTTCTTTAATTATTGATCGGAAACCGTTTTTACCTACAAGGTCAATGTGACCTTGACCTTGGACCCCTTGACCCCAAAATCAATAGGGGTCATCTGCTGGTCACCACCAATCATCATACAAAGTTTAAAGTTTCTAGGCCTAAGCGCTCTTTAGTTATTGATCAGAAACCGTTTTTACTTACAAGGTCAATGTGACCTTGACCTTTGACCCCTTGATCCCAAAATCAATAGGGGTCATCTGCTGGTCATGACCAATCACCATACTAAGTTTGAAGTTCCTAGGCCTAAGCGTTCTTTAGTTATTGATCAGAAACCATTTTTACTTACAAGGTCAATATGACCTTGACCTTTGGCACCTTGACCCAAAACTCAATAGGGGTCATCTGCTGGTCACCACCAATCATCATACAAAGTTTGAAGTTCCTAAGCCTAAGCGTTTTTAGTTAATTGATCGGAAACCAATTTTACCTACAAGGTCAATGTGACCTTGACCTTTGACCCCTTGACCCCAAAATCAATAGGTCATCTGCTGGTCATGACCAATCAAGTTCCTAGGCCTACGGGTTCTTTAGTTATTGATCGGAAACCATTTTTACCTACAAGGTCAATGTGACCTTGACCTTTGACCCCTTAACCCCAAAATCAATAGGGGTTATCTGCTGGTCATGACCAATCACCATACCAAGTTTGAAGTTCCTAGGCCTAAGGGTTTTTCAGTTATTGATCAGAAACCGTTTTTACCTAAGAGGTCAATGTGACCTTGACCTTTGACCCCTTGACTCCAAAATCAATAGGGGTCATCTACTGATCATGACCAATCACCATATCAAGTTTGAAGTTCTTAGACCTAAGTGTTCTTTAGTTATTGATCGGAAATCATTTTTACCTACAAGGTCAATGTGACCTTGGCCTTTGACCCCTTAACCCCAAAATCAATAGGGGTCATCTGCTGGTCATAACTAATCACCATACCAAGTTTGAAGTTCCTATGCCTAAGGGTTCTTTAGTTATTGATCGGAAACCGTTTTTACCCAAGAGGTCAATGTGACCTTGACCTTTGACCCCTTGATCCCAAAATCAATAGGGGTCATCTTCTGATCATGACCAATCACCATACCAAGTTTGAAGTTCCTAGGCCTTATGGTTCTTTAGTTATTGATCGGAAACCGTTTTTGCTTACAAGATCAATATGACCTTGACCTTTGACCTCTTGACCCCAAAATCAATAGGGGTCATCTACTGGTCATGACCAATCACCATACCAAGTTTGAAGTTCCTAGGCCTAAGGGTTCTTTAGTTATCACTCGGAAACCATTTGGTCTACGGACCAACGGACGGGACGGACCGACAAGTGCAAAGCAATATACCCCCTCTTCTTCGAAGTGGGGGCATAATTATGGATATGTAAAATAAAAATAAATATGCTAATCCATAATATAATATGGTTATGTAAAATAAAAATAAATATGCTAAGCATTGATGTTTAAGGCAGCATGCATCCAGAAGATGAGAGAAAAACTAACGTCCTATAACATTTCTGTTCATATTTTAATGTTTTTGCTCTGAAAACAGACTGTTCACTTTTCCGCCAATGGATATACCTTCCTTTAGTACACTACGATATTCTTTCATCCGTTTTTTTTAGTACTTTGTGATGGTACAGTCTACAGGACAATATCGTGACCTGTGATCTGGAACGCAGGAATCCAGAATCATATCAAACATACAGGGATACAAATAAACTTCTTTGGTTGTGTATTATTTGTGACATAAAGAATTATAATTGTATATAATTTGTAATATTACTATTTTCTTACACAGATTCAGTCATGGGACTATTTTCTTGCTCCTCCATCAGTCCAGGGTTCTGTATAACAATTACACTGCTAGCACATGGTGTTATACTCCTGTGATGAGGCTCCTCTGGGGTTGATGACACAGACTGGTACAACAATTAAAAGTATTAGAATTAAAAGTATTAGAGTCAATATAAAAACAAAATTACTAATCAATTTGAAAATTTTAAATTTTGAACTGCCAAAACTATTCTTTAAACCAACATCTGAAATCTCAGGAGCAACAGATTGACAATTAAAAAACTAAGAAAGTGAAGGGAAGTGGTGACCTAATGGTTATGGTGTCTACCTCTCAAACTAGGGATCATGGTTTCAAGCCTTGCTTGGGTCATTACCAAGATTTCTTACATGACACCAGTATTGGTTAGCTCCAGGAAGCTGACTCCAAAGAGAGTGGCTTGAACTTGATTTACAATCAATCTTAAATAATGTTTAAAGTTAACTAAGAAAATAATTTCAAAGCAGAAAATATAGTTTTATAAGAAAATAATAAATAAGAGAGTATTTCTCATATGGTTAAAATAATCTGAAGGAAAGTGTGTTTTTAAATTACCTCCCTTCCCGACAATGTCTCCCTGTCTATATTAATACTCTCTGTGGAAATACCGTGACCGGGAATCTCTGTTAGTGAAAGCTTGCCAAGTAAATTAAGATATGGCGTGCTGCCAAACTGTGACGACCTGTGTCTAGAATGATCAGGATCAGGCGAATTATTAAATGAATGACGTCTGCTTTGATCAAATGATGTGAAATAATCATTGTCCTGAAGACGAATGGAAAAAAGAAAATGAAGATTACAAAATATATCATAAATGATAATTTTGAAATTATTATTGCCCTGAAAATGGAACATAAACAATGAACATGAACAAGCTTAACATTGTATCATAATTATGCGCATACAATAAGAAGGCTTTCATTGTGAATCAAATTTTTTTTGTAATATGTGTAGAATGATAAATGATCCAATGAAAAAAAAAAACAACAACAAAAAACAAATGAAATATCATATACATGTACATTTATACTTTGCTCGCTCGAACTCGGATCGGCAAAATTCCTATATAACACATATTGTTCTACCTTGGATCGCTTGAACACTGATCCCTTGAACTCTCGAACCTAAACTCTGGTCCCTTCGGCAGAAATATAGTGAATATTACATTCTTTTGGGCGACACAAAACAACAACAAAAATTGCAGGTTGACATGTTCTGACAGCCAGCGACATATGTTTTTAATACCTCATGGTCATGATAAAGGCAATAATTTATGGTTAATTGATACAAAATAAGAGGTGTTGTAACCGATTTGTTTGTTATGAAAATATTGTTTATTTGACCTCTTTAGTAACAATAAAATGAAAATAACTTGTGAAATGTGTAAATGTCAATAAATAAATGATGTTTACCCAGACAGCTTTAATTACAACCGTGGTTCATGTAACCTGAATTGTAACCATATTATCTATTTATAGATTGTCTATTTATAGACTTGTACACTGTAGCCTCGATATATCGCTCTTCGTTATAACCCTAATCTCAGTATAGCGCTTAAACAATGAATTTAAAAAAAAAAATCTTTTTTACTGTAGTCATTTACAAAAAAACACACATACACTACAGCCTCATTATAACACTCATATTGGGTTCCAATGTCTCAACACCACGTTCTAAGAGGCTCTCATTAGAACGCTCATTGCGAAAAATTACCGCATTACCCCACCCATCGCATACATAACGCCGACGATTTTAACTTAATGTTCAATGAATATCGATAGTATCTTTTTCTAAAACAATTCAATTCATTGTTTAAAATAAAATTTATCCAAAAATAAACATATAAATATATTTTAACCATTATGCAACAAGTTTTGAAAATGATTGCCCAATCGAACTCAACCAATTACAATATGCATGAATATAGATTAAACACAGTGTACTGCTTATACTACTTTGAAAACACTGGGAAATGATGTTTTCAACAAACTGATGTACTTACAAACAATTATATTGACGTATTTATTATTCAAACAATGTACGCTGGAAAAACTTTAGGCCTATGTCCTACATTATAATAGTTCAACCTCAGTTGACTCAAACTACTGATCTCTCAAACAAAATATTCCTCACGCCCTCAGAGTTCGAGCGAACGAAGTTTGACTGTTTTTCCAAGCATTGCAGTAAAAGCATCAAGCAACATTTACAACAAATGCCTCATACATATTATTGCATACTCTTTTTTTCTCTAAAAAGGCATAAATTTACCAGTGATTTTTTTTTCAATTTTCAAAACAACCTGTGGCTTTCTGAAGGGGAAAATATGGCGCAATAAATAAGAAAAGGGGAAAATCAAATTCTAACAACTGAGAATTTTCAATTTGGTTTAACGTGCATGGTACATAGCAGAGGCTATCTTCAGGAACAGCTTTCTATCTTCTAGCTGATATAAGTTAGCTGCTGTTAATTGAAGAATGTGCACAGGGCATTTTAGGGGAAAATATTACCTTTTTTAGGGGAAAATATACCTATTTTGGGCTAGGGGAAACAGCCTTTATTGGGCTGTAAATTACAGGGGAAAAAATCACTGTTTACCCTGAAGTAATTTAAACATTCGATTCAAATCAAATAAAAAGAATTGTTTTATTAAAGTAACAAAATAAAACTATGATGGAATAATGTAGAAAATGCATCATTATGTCTAACACATTTAATGCATACTAATTTTTAAAAGCCATCTATCAATGACAGAATTGTTGGCAACAAACATCAATGAATTTGTATTACAAATTTCCTTTGAAGTCAGTGTATGACATGACCATTGAGCTACAGACCTAAATCTTGCACATGCCATATTGTCCCAGATATTCTTTTTTCTTGCTTGGTTGGTTGGTTGCATAAAAATTAAAATTCACTTTTCTTCCTGACTTTATAATAAAACAAGCATTCTATGTTAAAGAACCTGTGCAATCTATTATCTACTTCAACCAATCTGTCAATAAAGTTGAAAAAATTGTAATCAAGTTAAAATTTTATGAATAAGTTAAACTTACCAGTCATAAATATACATGTAGGATTTACTTCCCTTTGTTTACAATCAGACTCGCCGAGGCGCATGCGTAAACTAAAAAGCAAGCGTTCATAGGACCGGGAAAAGCATGCGCCCCTCGGTTTTACTGATTAAGTGAGAACAATTACACCATCCAAATATTACCAAGGGGTAGTGGTGGGAAACTAGTATGACTGGTAAGTTTAACTTATTCATAAAATTTTAACTTGATTACAAATTTTTCAATTTTATTTCACTCGTTAACCTTACCAGTCATAAATATACATGTAGGATTGATTTCAAAGCAATACTCACCTCTGATGGTGGTGTAGGGTAATATCTACTGACAAAAATCTTTATGCAACAAATATGTATCTGTTCCCATTATGTACATGAAAATGTCCATTCTTTATTCTCCACTATGTATAGAATATCTGTTTCCTCTTGTATAAATGTACAGAACAACACTGTCAATACTGTTTCCACTTGTATAAATGTACAGAAAAACACTATGTCCACTTATATTCTCAGAACACTATCTTCTTTAAATGTACACAATATATGTATATATGTATATACCAATGCACTTATCGAGTGCCATAAAATATGAAAAATCCCTCAATAATTTGATATAGCGACTCGCTAAAAGTTAAAATTAAATTTTAGTTCAAAAACCTTATTTCAAGTTTTCAACACTGCTGAAGTAATATTTACATTTCTTAGATAAAAACGTGTAAAAGTAGTCTCTCTACTCCAGTCTGCTGAAGCTAAAATTGATTCAATTGATGCACCCTTGAACAATGCAAAAGATGGACCAATAGCTCTGATACTATGAGCTTTAACTTTAACCTTATCATCTTTAAGTGTTAACTTAATAAGTGTTAACTTTAACTCATTACTTCATGAGCATTTTGTGAAAAATGGCTGTTTTCATTGAAAAGTCTCCCGTTACAAGTTCAAATTGCTATAAAACTGCTTCAACACTTATCAAACTTGGCACAAATGTTGACTGGACCATTGCCCTTGCAACAACATGCTCAGGCTTAAATTTTCTGTTACCATGGCAATGAGGGGACATCTCAAAATCGCAAAAAAACACTATTTTGCGTTGATTTTTTCCATCAAAATTGATTTCAAAGTGCTGCAACTTCTCAATGGATTGAGATAGAGTCAGATGCTTTTCAGCGTTATTTACACGTTACCTTATGATCAATCTGGGGTCATTTATAGCCTCTCACAAGTCCAAAATTTTCTTGGCGATGATGGGGACTCCGCCCACCTTCAAACCCCCCAAACACAAAAAGGGGGGGGGGTCGAAAAAGGTGTTAAAGGCGTGTATATCGCATAATGGGTTAATGTCTGAACAATCCAGTTTGATAACGTTTGAGAACTCACTGGTTATGTGGCTCATTTAACCCAAGGAATAGTTTTGTTTCATCTTCACCAGTCCCAGACTTTCTATATTTTTCAGTTGCTTTCAAATAATAAAGTAAACACCTTTTAGGATCCAATTTCTTATTTTCTGGGAGGGAAAGATGGTATGAAAAAAGTTGCTCCGAAATGTGACGGTCTGTCCTGTTTAGCTAAACCATGACGAATAAAGGTGATACCTTTCTGTTGAATGTTTACTGAACCTTCTCCTAACTTCAGAGACTGCAAGTCACTACATCTCCTGAAAGTAGTTATTGCAAACAAAAATACAGTTTTGTATGTTATAACCTTCAACGGAGCTTTATGTTAAGGTTCAAAAGGTGCTTTTTGTAAAGCCTTTAACACTTCCAGCAAATCCCATTCAGGAATCAATCTGACTTGAGGAGGTCTAGAATTAACAAGAAGCGCAGCAATGCGACGAAAACAAGGTTTTCAGCTACCAAGTTTTGATGTGACAGCAATCAATAGGTCAAAAAGCACTGAAGTTATTGAGTAGAAGCTGAAAATTCTATTGTAAGCAAATGACCTTGAACTTGCTCCCAGATATCTTAGTGGCAATCAAAAGCTGCCACTCAGCAAGTTTGTTGTCAAAAGGTCAAAGCAAACTCAAGTTATAACATGAAAACTAAATACATTACCTCCTTGATCACAGACACCTGGTAGCAATCCCAAGCTGCCTCTTAATATAAGCTACCCATTCATCAAGTTTTGTGTCAATAGGCCAAAGCAAACTCAAGTTATTGAGCAGAAAACTGAATTTCTATTTTTAGTAACAGTGACCTTGATCTTGATAACAGACACCTGGGTAGCAATCCCAAGCTGCCTCTTGATATAAGCTATCCATACACCAAGTTAGGTGTCAATAGGCCAAAGCAAACTCAAGTTCTTGAGCAGAAACTGAATTTCCATTTTTAGTAACAGTGACCTTATACTTGATCACAGACACCTGGATAGCAATCCCAAGCTGCCTCTTGATAAAAGCTATCTATACACCAAGTTTGGTGTCAATAGGCCAAAGCAAACTCAAGTTATTTAACAGAAACTGAATTTCTATTTTTAATAACAGTGACCTTGATCTTGATAACAGACACCTGAGTAGCAATCCCAAGCTGCCTCTTGATATAAGCTATCCATACACCAAGTTTGGTGTCAATAGGTCAAAGCAAACTCAAGTTATTGAGCAGAAACTGAATTTCTATTTTTAGTAACAGTGACCTTGACCTTGATCACAGACACCTGGATAGCAATCCCAAGCTGCCTCTTGATATAAGCTATCCATACACCAAGTTTGGTGTCAATAGGTCAAAGCAAACTCGAGTTATTGAGCGGAAACTGAATTTCTATTTTTAGTAACAGTGACCTTGACCTTGATCACAGACACCTGGGTAGCAATCCCAAGCTGCCTCTTGATATAAGCACCCTACACACCAAGTTTGGTGTCAATAGGCCAAAGCAAACTAAAGTTATTGAGCGGAAACCAAAAGTTGACGACCGCCCGATCGCCCTCCCGCCAGGTGACTTCGGCATTACAATAACCCGAATTTTCGTTGAAAACCTGGTTAAAAACTCCTTTAAGTAGTTGAATTATATAAGGGTGTTGACCTACTTTATGACCATCAATGGCTGATAAAATAGACCTATAACCACTTATTGTTCTATTCTGTAAACGTTTATGAAACATGTTTGTTAGAAATTGTGATATATTAATCAGAGATGAAGAATAGGGATCAACTTTCCTTGTACGACACCAGCTATTGAATACTCTGAACTTGCTACCATAGTCCCTTTGAGTACCTGATCTCCAGGCTGCTTTGAGCAATTTTCTAGTGTTTTCAGAAAATCCAATCTTTTCGTATTGTCTGTCGATACCAGCCGAGCTGTTAAATGAAAAATTTCCGGATTCGGATGTTTTATCAGAGTTTTTGTTTGAACTAGTAGATCTGGAATGACAGGTTGTCTTAGGGGACATGCCACTAACAAGTTCAGAATTTCCGGATACCAATGTCTCCTTTGCCACTGAGGAGCTATGAGTATAATTTGACA